GAGAGCGTGTGCCAGGGCCGGAGGCGGGCTGCTGGCGTGCCGCCCCGCGCTTTGCAGGGGCGCAGGCTGCGTGGAGGCCGTTTCCTGCGCATTGGCAAGCTCCGCAAGCGCCGAGTTACAGCCGAGCTGACCAGAGTGCTAGATGTGCTGGTGGTGGTGGGTGGTTGTTTAAGAAGCGGTTGTGGATGTAGATATAAATTAACTTCCAAAATCTCTTAATCCAGGCTCTCTATCGCTTCTACCCAAGCCTCCTAATTACTAGTGTGGTTTAACACATGTGAATGCACCAAAAAAAAAAAAAATCTATTGAAAAGGGGTTAGTTTACCTGGTTTTGAAATCGAGAATCTCTTTGTAAGCAGCCTTATTGTTGGCTGGCATCTCTTTTTTTTTTTATGTTTTCTGACATCTTTTATGAGTATGATATTTATTTTGGATTCTTACTCTACTGTGTATCTACATCCAATTTTTACTATTGTGCCAAGTCATTGCGGGCATAACTGTCCTCTCACTTGGGCCTGGTACAGCCTGGCAGAACAAACAGCCCAGGATTCCCTCCAGCGGCTTGCTTTTGTAGGTCCAGGAGCCATGATATTGCAAATCCAGCCAGGTTTTGGCTTAGCAGAATTGAGACATAGTATGTAATGCTGTCATTTCTCATACATGCTTTTACTGAGGGTGTTCTTTGGAATGAAAGAGCAAAAAGGTGTACCAGAAGAAAAAAAACGTAGTCCAGACTGAAGTGGTGGAAGATTCCCCTCTTGCATAAGCACGTTTTTGGTGATTTTATATGGTGAACAGAGACCACCCTGCAAATATGAAATTGGCTTCATCTGCCACATAAACCATAATATTCTATTCTAGCTAACCTGTTATAGGGCACTATAAAAAAGCCTTACATGAACAAAATCTTACCCACAGCTTTTCTAAAAGTTTAAAACAAAAAAGTGCACTTAAAATTTTTCATGTCTAGACCAAGGGAGTACTTTTTATCTGAAACTAGCAGAAAAATCTGGTAACCATTTTTTTGAGAACAAACCACATTGTTAGAACCTGAAACTTGATCATTACTGACTTCAGTTTAGCAATTTCACATTGACCCTGCCAGACCCGGTCTGGCTCCTGTAGAGCCACTGCGTCTGCAGCAACCCTAGGTTGGAGTCAGTGCCAGATTTCAGCTGGCACTGGGTTGAAAGTTAGTTTGTTTGATTTTTGCGAGGAAGGGAAGTGTTAGCTGGCTTGATTTTCTACTGGCTTAACTCCTTGAACCAGCCTGGTCTGCAAGGATCACAGAAGCACAGCAGAAAGAAGCAATAATGCAGGTGTTAACTGGGAAGGGCAGGGTTGCACCAGTACTGACTTAGCTTCAGGCTGACATCTTTGTGGTTATGATGCAGGAGTGGGGACAGCTCTACCTTGGTATGGTGGCAGTGATTTCTGTCCTCAGCTATCTGTACTGCTTCTTTGTCTGAAACTGCAAATCCAGGGCTGAGACAGGAGAGCTGCTGTTAAAGTGACTACTAGTCTGCCACAGCTTGCTGCCTTGCACATTGTGGTGACCCTGGATCAGTTTGCTTCGATGTACAATGATACAAGTTGAAACAGTTTGGGTGAATCTTCCCAGCATCTTAGCCCTTAAATGCCGTGGAAATAAAACTTATAGGAACAGACATCAGGAACCTTTATTTCCTGTCTTACTTTTATCTCACTGAGGAAAGGGCAGCCGTTTTAGAGTTTGTCTTGTTTGTTCTTTATTACCTGCGAAAACGAGGAGTATCTAGGCAGATGAAACCTAAAATAGAAGTACTGACCATATATGGCAGAGAAGGCAAAAATACTCAAATCTAAATTCCTGTAGCACATCATGTTTCTGTCATGTAGGAAAATTCGGTCCGACTAATGACATGTAGGCCAGGTCCAATCTGTGGGACGCTTGTTTAAACTATCACCTTTTCTTTGGAGGAGATGAAGATGTGTTTGTTCTCATAATAGTTGAACACTTTCTGTTGTGCGTGGTATGTGCACATAAGTTTATGGCCGCCAGTGTCAGGGCGAAGGAGAAACAAAAGCATTTTTCCACTGGATGTTTGTGGCACAGCACTAAGCCTGGAAGTTGTCACTTCTATATCTTACTGAGTTCTGAACCTGCCATCCAGTCCTATAGGCACAGCCTGGAGTGCATAAAGATGATAAATATTTTTAATTAGATACTGTTCCGTGTTTATCTGTTTGTTTATGATTCTAGGATTTATATTATTAAATTAACCAGTATGTTTTCATGTGTATGTGATTCTTGTGAAAATTGTGGGGGGGTACTTACTAAGGAAACCCACTATATGAAAAGCAGCAGGAGGTGGGGGTAATGGTGAGAGATGTACAGCTTAAAAAAAAAAATAAAATTAAAATTTGTGAATGATTTCCTTAAAAGGAGATGCTGACATCTGGAAAACAAAGTCCTGTAATTAGGGTTTGGCTTTGTGCTTGCTCTGGTCTTAATATGCCTGAGTGCCTTGGCACGGATCTGCTGCTTGTTGTATCTACAAAATGGAGAAGGTTTTCTTTTTTTCAGCAAAAGTTATGAAAATACCAAAGCCATGGAAAATAAACAAAACTTGCTGGACAGTTTACAGTCCTTCTGATCTCTCTCAGATATATATTTCTATGTCATGTATCCTGTTTTAAAATTTAGAGGGTTATTTAATGTTAAAAGGCTGAACTAGGCATCAAACTTGGGATTTTTACCATTGTAAATTGGTTTTAGAATTTTTATTTTCCTCTGACAAACCTATTCTTAAGATGGAATCTTGAGAATCAAATTGAGTCTTGTTCTTGTTTACTTTTAGATGCCTGTCTTAGATGTCAAGCTGAAAACAAACAAGAAGATTGTGTTGGTATGTAGTGATTTCATTCGCTTGTTTTTCAATTGAAGCTTCTCTCAGTAGGGAGCATTTTAAAGTTCGAAGGGAATACTGATTTTATTAATGCTCAAAAGTAAATGTGTTTCATTCTACATCGTGTCATGTTTTTACATTAGTAATACTTTATGCTTTATTTTTGAGCACTAATAAAATTAGTTTTAATGTCAGGCATGCAGTAGAACAAAACTTTAAATTTGCAGTCAACATATACACAACTGAGAAGTTTAAGTTTCTCTCACCCTGAGCATAGTTGAAGAGATCATAATGTACACTTTCGAAGTGGGTAGGAACGGGCTATTTTTTTTTTTTCTTCTGAGATGCATGCCAGAAGACACAATGGTAATACCAATAAAAATTCTCTGTTCTGAAATAAATGTGTCTGGGTTAGGAAGTGGTATTTTTCCCTGGCTTAATTCAGACATAGTGGAGACAATTGCTTGTTTGTTCATTTTTCATTTTGAAAAGTGGAATTACTTGAGTTTTCTGTAATGCTGTTTAACCATAAACATACTTTCTGTTGCATACCGATATATGCAAAAGCAAATCTTCATTCTGATATATTTAAATCTAAAACAGTGAAAATTGTCTCACTTTGCTTTAAATCTCTAAGTCAACTTTTAAACCAGTGGTGAAGCTTTCTGTGTGTTTGTTCTTTCTGTTTTGAAGTATATTCTCTCAAACTTAATCCAGTGTTGGTGTTGATGATTGTTTTAATGAGAACAGGAATTTGCTGTTCCAGATCTTAATTGGCTTGCTGAGTGTCCTATTTAAGATAGAGAGGAAAACAAACTCAAAACATAATTTACAACACTCATTTGATTAGTACCCTTGTATTGTAATAAGGAGAATGTGAATTAATAAGGGGAAAAAAGCAAGGTAACTAATACTGATCAGGAGTAGATGGACTCTTTTTGTTGTGTTGAAACAGTTGTAGCCTGTGAATAACTTCTGGTCTAAGATCCCATTTTGAGGCTATATGTTGTATCAAATGTGCTTACTTGATATTATACATTTAAGTTCAAACACGGCATTTCAGATCAGAATTTGGTGATATGCTCTTTCATGATAGTAGTGCCTTGGCTATAGTTTGGTACTGGGGAAGATAAAGTGAAGAACTTGGATAGTTGCACTTACTTCCTGGGCAGAACTGATAAATGTGTTTATACATTCACAAAACTGTGTCAGTTTCTACAAGAAAGGGAGAATATATGCATTTCTTTGTTGGTAATTGGAAATAAGTAAAAGGATTGATGATAGATAGAGAACTGGCTACTGTCCAAATGACCGTAATAATCCAGTCTCCGTGGATAAATCAGTGATGACCCGTTTTGTCTCTACAGCTTGCAGTGGTTATAAACATCTGAGAATGATAGTTTGGACCTTGTAGTAGGACAGCTGAGTGTGACTGGAACATGTTCTTTCTTCTTTTTCAGTGGTTTGGGGAGAATGCAATCATTCCTTCCACAATTGCTGCATGTCCCTGTGGGTGAAACAGAATAATCGCTGTCCCCTCTGCCAGCAGGACTGGGTAGTCCAAAGAATAGGCAAATAAAAACACTGGAAGTTTTTTTTCCTATCAAACTTGTTGAAGTAGTGTATGTCTTACACCTTATGCTCATACGGAAGAATGGAACATGTCAATCATGGCATGATTTATTTAGTTTTATCTGCTAGAAGATGGGGGTGGTTTTGTTGTGTGCTCTTTGCTGTATGAGGAGGCAATGGTCAGTCTTACTGCAGATATTTCCACAATAAACCAAGAGACACTACGTTAACAAATGTATCTGTTATGGTTTGAGTGTTAACTGTATCAGAGCATAGAAGTGTGGTGGTGCATATTATACCCTAAATACAGTTTATTTAATGTTTTTGTGTAGGTAAATGAATAAATTTGCAAGGGCAACCTTACCTGTAAGTCTGATACGCTGCATAGTTTCCTGTCAGGATAAAGAAACTGTTTTCTAAATAATATTGTATACAAAAACAGTCAGTGAGGTGGTTTTTTTAGAAAGTGTTCTGGTTTTTAATCTAAATAGTGTGTAAAACATTTGCTATATGCTTTTTCTATCACACTATACTAAACATTTCTAATTTAGATTTTCTTTATGACTTCAGAAAATTTTGTTTTCTTGAATGTGTCCGTTGCTGTATTATATTCTATACATGATTTATACAACCATAGCATAAAAATTTAACCCCATTCATAATTCTTTAATTTATATTTCTGATAAGATAATGGAGACATATATTTAATCCAGAGACTTTTGGTACAAAGATGTGTATTTGATAGCAGTTAACTGGGGGCGTAAACAATCCTGCTGGTTAGCTGACTAATATAGAAAGCCAACAACACTGGTAATTTAATAATCCCAAGAAAAGCAGGTACTAATTAAATCTAGGGGAAAATGTTAAACTGTATTTTCATGAAAATTCAGTTAATATAAATTTATCATCACTTTACAGTGTTTTGGAAGTGGGAGAAAGCATTGTGTCATTTTTGTGGAAATCCTCAATATATCTTTTATATATATATATATAAATCGTGTGTTTTTTTTCTTGTAAATATTAATATGCTTGCCTCTGACTTTGTCTTTTCCCTAAATATCCAAAGTAATTACTATTAATCTGAACATATGCTCTGGGATTATTTTTTTTAAATATATGTAGTAGGTTGAATTACTGCTTTAAATCTGTAACAAATTCAGGCTTAATAAAATGGATAATAAACCTGGGTGAAATTGAACAAATATTATATATATTTCATGTTTACTTAAAAATGTTCATGTTAAATACATAATGCATTTCTCAGCAGATGTATTTCTATCTAGTTCTTTTTATTTGAAGAGGTTTATCTTCTCTGTATAAACTAGTTCCAATGGCAATCTGTGTCATCAAGCATACATGCAGAGTTTACTGTGGTTTTGTTCAATACTTGTAATCTTGTTTTTCAAATGTTTCGATTTTTTTAAATATAACTTTTGTCTCATTACAAACTGAGATCAAAGAATATTCTCTGTCACTGTTACAGTGTATCACATTGGTTGTTATTATCCCAGATGACGTCTGTCATTGAAAACAACTGTAAAATAGGTTAGAAGTGCCTGAAGCACCTCTGTTGTTGTGGAGTATTTGTGTTTGTGTAAAATGATTCTTCCTAAAATGACTGAAAAAATCTGGTTGGATGTGGAACTACTTTTTATCTATCAAAGTGAAACTATATCTATTTACCACCTATTTCCTGTGCCAGAATGGTCCCAGGCTCCATCTTCTAACCTCTGTTAATTCCATCTGGTCCCATCAGAGGGCTTATTTCTTCATTTTGCTTTGGTTTGTAGGTGAATATGGAAAGTATCAAAGTAATTTTCACTCTGTTTTCTGTTCAGGTCGTGTGCATTACCAGAGCAGCTAATAACTGTAGAAAAGCTTTCCAAAGTGTCGGCTCAAATAGGTGTCAACAAAGATGAGGAAAGTAAATGTTGAAATCAAAGCAGCTGATAGTTGTGTATTTTTAAGTATCTTTTTGATCAGTAACTAGAGGTTCACCTAGAATAGAAGATAATAGATTTTAAGTCCTGCATATTTTCTCTGAGATTAGCTTAAGTCCCAGTCTTTCTACGAGCTCTGCACCAGAGAAATTTTATTCCGTTCCAAAGCTTACTCTGACATTCCATTAGTGTAGTTCTTACTAAGTACCATTTTTAGTCCTGAATTTGTTTGCCTCATGTACATGCAAAACAGATCAGTTTTGCTTCTCACCCAAGCATGCTGGTTTATGAGTAGGTAACACGAACTTAAATAGCCATTATCAATTGATAGATTTAATGCTTATCTGCTTTTCTCCATTTTTTAATAATTGATGGGCAGATTTGGATAATTCAGCGTATCTTGCTAGAGTCTTCTCTCAAATGTGACTGGAGTAATGAATATGCATCCAGAGATCATATTGTGTCACTTTGCTTTTTATGAAGTTAGGTTCTTTTAGAGAAAGGTTATGTTCCATACAAATTGGGAAAGATCCTCATTAACAGAGCAGAATGATTTTCGGAGCTGTGAATGTGCCTTTCTTACACAGATACCATAAACATCAGGTGTTTTCTTGATTTGCTTAGACAAGAATATATCAGTAGCTGGTGTAAGCTTGAGTTCACCCTCAGGTCCCCCAAACTACCAGTCATTTGTACTGCTTCTGTTCGAGCTGTGGTGGCATTCTTGTTAAATGCAAAATAGGCCTTGCTGGATTTTTGTTTCCTGCTTTTCTGTAACCAGGATGTTACAGGAATATGTTGCTGTAGGCACCTTTGTCAGGAAAATCACCAGAAAAATTCCACAGTTCTTTCTTTGACATTTTCCAGTTTTGCTTTTTCTGCTCGTGCTGGCTGCATTATTTAGCCCTTTTGTAATCCCCTGCCCCATGCTTGCATTCACTTGGTAGAATTAGCGACTGCTGTACCAGCGAGACTTTGAAGTACTCTGCTTTAGAGTACACCGCGTTCTCGTGCACACGTAGCAGTTTGTGATGGATGGCCCTCCCAGTCACAGCTAGAAAAGCACACTGCTAATGTAGTTTTATAGAAAATACGCATAAGTTTTATGTCATGTGGATTCAATGCAGACAGGATTAAGCATGGAAAAACAAAATACATAGTAATAGAGGGACAAAAAACAGCAAAGAAGGGCTTAGCATTTACTGTCGGGAGTCTTAGAAGTGCCTGTTGTTACTCCTAATGTTAGCATTTGTGATTCAGCTCTTCAGCTTGCTCTAAGAGTGAAAAAAAGAGAAAAGGGAGCTTGACCTTGACCTCAGGAGTGTAGCTTGACCCCATTGCTACTGGAAGAATCATGAAACTGCTTTTCCTGATGCCATAATACCTTCCTTATATCTAAAGAAAGTTTTAGCAGCCAAATTGCATGACACATGGCAGGAGGGGGCTTAACCTAGTAAGTGCAACACATGATTTTTCTTTTGGGGAAAAAAAGGGGGCACAAGCTTCTTGGAAGTCAGGTGCAATTTGCCTTCACTTGATTATAATCGGCTTTGTTCTTTTGTTGATGCCACCTCGGCCATACACTGTTGCTGCCTGCCACTTACTGTCGTAGAGCTCAGCAGGGAAAATAAACTGAGGCCACAATAACATCTGGCAGTGTCTTGACAAGATTTGGCTGAGCATTTGAAGTGTTCTTTTTTCTGTGGGTAGGAGATGAAGTCAGAACTATATTTTGGTTTGTATATAGGGATCATTATTTTTAGACGAGCAGCAGGTCTTAGCCTCTACTTGTAATCCGCTCAGACAGAGCCACATGAGGCATCAAGGTTTGCACAAGGTGTCTGTGGAGCTCAGAGTCATAGATGTTGAGTATAGCTTGAGTTGTGGAAGCATGGATGCTCAAAGCAGTGAATTGTGTGATAATTTAAAAGTTCAGTGTGTCATGTTCAGTGCTTCATGATGTCTCTGCCTATGGAAGGGTATTGGAACTAGATGATCTTTAAGGTCCCTTCCAACCCAAACCATTCTATGATTCTGTCTTCGTCTATGTCCACTTCTGTTTCAGACATGGCAGATATGTGATAAAAGCTTTTTATGAAATCATATCCAGACTTAAATTTAATTCTGAGTACATTGGTGTTCTGTGTATTAAGCAAAGTTGGTACAAGACTGTACTGTAAACTGCAGCCAGTGTGCCACTAAGTTTGGAGTGTGCACATATTGCAGACAGGAATCTGCATGTTCTCAGTAGCCAGGGACAGTGCATGTAGAGGGTATTTTGGTGCATAAAAAGGTTATCAGGGCCCATTATAAAAAGCATCAGCTGAACTGCATGCATTTGGTGCTGCCAGTGAGAAGGTTTGCCTAGGATGTCATCCCTTAGCTATACATAGCAAACTCAAAGCTCCTTACAGAGAAACCTCTTACCCAGTCACTTTCCACAAATGGTGCATGCACCTAAAAGTACTTAGTGAAAATCCTTCAGAGGTATTTAATGCAAAAGCAGTTAGTCTCTCTGGTGTTTTATAGAAGCCCGTACACACCACCAGCAAGGAGGAAGTGCAGGGCAGCTACAGCTAGCACTTGGGCTAGTTACTCATTTTGTCTCAACCAGGCTCTGCCACCCCAAGAGCTTGTCAAGATGTGTGACATGGGGGGGCTTGACAACCTGATTGCCAACACAGCCTATCTGCAGGCAAGGAAGAGTGGAGATGGAGACACAAAGGAGATGCAAAAGAGACGTAGGAGCCTTTCGCTGCCCAAGGTTGAGCAGTGCGGAGAGGTTAGACAGTCCATTGTTGCTGATTATGACAACATCTGTGAGCAGCAGCCCATTGGCAAGAGATTCTTCAGAGACTTCTTAGAGACAGTGCCAGAATATTTGGTAGCTAGGGACTTCCTGGATGAGGTGTCAAACTGGGAGCTGGCAGAGGACAATGTCAAGAGCAGTACCATGGAGAGTATGATCACCAATTTTCTTAAGACAGGCTCCAAAAACTATCTGTCTTTCATGAACTCTGACTTGGCCAGCAAATGCCAGGCAGCTACTGCAAATGACTATGAGAAT